TCTCTCTCTCTCTCTCTCTCTCTCTCTCTCTCTCTCTCTCTCTCTCTCTCTCTCTCTTCTCTCTCTCTCTCTCTCTCTCTCTCTCTCTCTCTCTCCATAGCCCGATGATCCGATCATCAGCATGCATGCGTCGATCCACAGGACAGAGTCAGAAAAGGAAAACCGTCGGAGCTGCGCTGCACGAAGACGTCTACCGCCAGTCACGCCGTGTATGTCGTCGATGACGTCAGTAGAAGTCATCGAGGACGATCCGCACTTCGCCATGCAAGTAAGACCGATCGGCGAAAGGAGGCTCAGCGTGGATGATGTACGTCGCCGGCACGTCGAGATGGCTTGCGCACCCCATTGCCACATTAGACACCAGGAGGTCGATGATGTCCGCCAAGACGTCCGAACCTCCGACCCAACGGTCGGGAATTGTCGTGCCCACCTTCCGCGCAAAGAAAACCACCTGCTTGAGGAGCCCCATGCCATATCCATAGCGGACTGTGAGATGGAGGCACGTGTCTCCATCCGCGTCGACCTCGTAGTGCCGGATTCCTTGTCTTGTAACCCCGTCCTCGAATCCAAAGTCCTTGCCGTAGTCCTTGCCATGACGGTGTCACATCTCGTAGAAGATGATGCAGCGACCGAGAACCCGCCTCCTCAACGCCACCTCAACCTCCATCTCACAGTCGGCGAACCCACCACCAAACAATCCTCCTCCCCCCCCCTTCTCCCCTGTCCCCAAGCCCCCAACTGAAGTTAACGCTCGCTCCTCAACCGAACACCTAACACCGCACTTCACGAAGTCGTCCCACCCACCTCGCGCCGCCTGCACTCCACAGGGCACACAATCACCACCGCCGAACTCACTATCGCGTCAGGGTGCTGGCGATGTCGTCATCACTGCGGCTGAAGGGCGTCCCCGTCGTTTTTATAAGTGAGAACTGTCCGGATGTACTCGTTGACGTCCGCCGTAGGCTGTTCTGTTCGCCGTCCGATGGCCCCCGCCCATCGACGGACAGCAGCATCAAATCCGCTACGCACTGCTATCCCGACTGACAAGACGTCAACAAAAGAGTAAAAAAGTGGTGGGCCTAAAAAAACGGCACGTATGGCGCGCGCAGGGAACTGCCGGCCAGCGCTGCGAAGTGTTGATGCAAAAAAAAAATAACAAAAATTGCCATCTGCTGATTGGCCGCGGTGGGTCGTCATGCTTTCCGCAGTCCACCGGGGCGAATGCAATCAACTCTGAGCCAACGCCGATGCAATCTTCAGCAGAGCATCGCACAGCATGCGCTGACCAGCATCCAGCATGTCACACTGTTTCTCCTGCATCCTCGCCTCCCTTTCCATGATGTCGCATTGTCGTTGCAGCACATCGCATTGGCGCTTGCTAGCACGATCCACAGAATCAACGACGAACGTCGGATGGGTCTTCATCACGTCCGTCACAGCATCGAAGGCGAGCTGCCGCGCGTTCTTCCGCTTCCCCGCAGCCATTCCCCCTGAAGACCTGCTTCCATAGCCGTCCGCCGATTCCCTTTCCATGTTGTTGCCCACCGACGTTTCCCCACCGACTGTCGCACCTCTAGCCTGGCTCTGCTCACTGTCATCCGCTTGCTGGGGAGGGAGTCCACCGGTGTCACACAAATTAGGCGGATGTATGGCCTGATTGTTGGGTGTTATCGCGTGGATGACGTCGTATAGTTGTCGGTCCATCGCGAATTTATACCCCAATTCTTTGCGTTTTTTCGATGTCATCAGGAAAAAAGACTGCACACCAGAGTCCTTCTCCCTATCCCAGATTTTCCTGTACCACCCGAAGATGTTCTCCCACCTCTTCATGCACGACTCTCCATCTTTGTTCGTGACCCCTTGCTGGGCCATACGATTTGCTATCTCATTCCATTTCTGCGTCTTTGTCTTCATCCGCGCGAAGTTGCTACCCTGGCTGGCCATGTGATCGTCAAGGTCCCTTTTGCAGCGGACGAGGAGGAGCGAGTCGTCCAAATCCCAATTCTTTGAGTTCCTTCCTCCACCCGCCGCGCCATCACCATCACCTCCACCGTCTCTCGCCTTCGACTTCCCACGACTCTTCGTTGTCTTCTTCTTCGTGGTCTTCGGTGTGACTTCCTTCAGCAGAACGTCGTCATCCTCCTCGCTTTCGTCCTCGACATCCGTGCACTCCCCCTCAGCCACTTCCTCAGCCTCTGCCCCCTTTGCACCTCCGTCATCCGCTTGAACGTCGGTACGCATCCTCGAATACCTCGCTATGATCCTCTCAATCACCTGGGGGGACTCCGCAACACTCGCTCTCGTCACCGTTCCCGCAGGACCGTTGTGCGTCAGTGGCGATCGTCCCGGATCAAAGGAGGACGGCGAAACGGCGTGGCTCACCCTGCATGCGGATGATGACATCGGGGGCCGTTGTGTCACCGCTCCGTCTTCACGGGCATCCTGCATTGTCACGGACACCCCACCTTGCGAGCGACTGCTATGGTCGACGGGAACTGTTCTCGACGCATCCATTGTGCAACTCGGGGACAAGTGTAGTCGCAGAGGATCAGACCCTCCCCCCCCCGGGATCCGCCAAGAGGGAGGACATCGGCCCCATCCTCGTGCCGCGGTGATCTGATCGAGGGGCAGGTCTCGTAGGAGGTTTGTGTCGACCCCCAAGCGAGAGGAAGGGTGGCACCCAAACCTCATCATCTGGCAAAGGCTGGATGTAGGAAGGCAGATGCGCGTACAACGCAGGATCGAATCGGTGATGCATTCCGTCAGGAATTTCGAAGCGCGCCCCCGTCCCCATTCCGTGCATCTGCCCCGCAGGAAGACTACCATCGCCCATCCCTTCCCTAACAGTCCTTTCTCTGACGGCCTTCTTCGCTGCTTTCTTTCGCGGACGAGCCTTGCTATGCCTCAACAAGTGCCAGAGCTGCAGCAACACGACGACGAGCAAAGCAACAAGGACGAATGCCAGCAGGGCAGTCTTCCTGACCAGGTCTGCCATACGCACACGTGAGGAGAGTTGAAGACAAGCACAGCCCGTGGCAGTGATGAAAAGGACAAGCAGTCTGCTTTCCACTGTCACGCGGGCAGCATCATATTGTTATGCGCCGGCGCAGAAGGACGTTCGTGTCCTGCCAAATTCTGATCGAGGGGAAGGCCATCAACTGGCCGTTAGCAGGCACGGCGCTACCAAACGCGTGTTCCAAATTCGAAACACCGCCAACGGCCAGTCGCCGCCCCGCCGCTACCACAACGACCTTCGTACCCTCCCAACGGCTACGACGGCCTCGCAACGGTACTCAGAGACGGTGGTACGGGATTTCCTCGGTGCCAGTTTCCCGAACGAAGGGCCAGACAAGTATTCACTGGACCAGGAACGACCGTGGTTCGCTGGGAAAAGAACAACCCCGCGGCACCATCCGTCACATACGCGCCGCGTACGTCCCCACCCTCACATTTCTAGTCACCTCCGGGGGCTCCCTAAAGATTTCGCCTCGTTTTGCCTGTGCCGCCCTCAAAAAGTTAGGGCGGACCCTAAAAGCCGACGATGTGGAAACATTCTGCAGTTCCGTTTTTTCGTCATTAGGAAGTGGTGGAACGATGATTTTCTAAGGGTCCTTACATTTTTAGTGGTGTGGAACGAGGCCCAAAGAARAAAAWMAAAAAAAAAAAAAAAAAAAAAAAAGAGAAGAAAAAAGACCTACCTAAATGTGGCTGCCCGTTTCTAACGGGCGCCTGTCATCTCACTAGGAACTTTCGGTTCCCAGTCACTTCTGAACGCGCCAGATGGCGCGTTATTTTCTTCTCCCTTGTTGGCTTATGCCAACGGTCCTCTCACGCCGTGGCCTAACCATGACTTTCTGGTCGAGGTCCTCCTAGCATAAGGATAGGATCGAGCTCCTGAACCCGGACGTATTTTGAGCAGAGGTGCAAAAAGCAGTTCATTCTCGATTTCCTTCTCCTGTCCTCAAACGCGTCCAGATTCAGGCATTCAATCCGATGCTCTTTGCTAATGGGGACACGGCCCCTTTCATGTGGCTCTTCGGCCACTGCTGTTTAAGTACAGGCCTGAGTCCGAATCCCAAGGGATTCGAAAAACAAATTCAAAATTCTTTTTTTTATTATTATTTTATTATTATTATTATTATTATTATTATTATTATTATTATTTTCAATTTACATGAGTCATCCTTGCGCAGGGGCCAAGATAGATCCGCGCGGCCGGTATGAACCGCGTGATCCTCAAGATCGAACAGTACGAATCAACCGCGCCGGCATCGCTCAAAATGGGCAACTCAAAAGGAGCTAGTCCAGTTGCCTGTTGTCGGTTTCGATCCCTATGTCTGCGGGGCGATAATCTAGCGACAGTACCTATTGGGCTAGCTCCTTCTTACATCAGGAGAGGAGCGGCCCTTCTATATGAAGAGCTTCCAGCGACCAGCAGACCCCCTCTTCAGCAGGCGGGTTCGGCAGCCGGCAGCCTTAGCAGCTGCCCTACCCTGCCGGCCCTAGCGCCATCGTCCTTGGTCCTTGGCGCAGAAGCCCCGCGGACCAAAAAACTCCCTATTCCTGCGCACCGCAACCCTATACCCGGCGCGGGCGCTCTTTTTAGCCGACTTAGGCCCCGAATTGCGCGGCTGTACAGCAGCGCGACATGTTTTTAGGTAGGATAGGTATAAAATTATCATATTCTACGGTCGTATGTCCATGCAGCGTTACCAAACATGGGAAGAACAGGTCGCGCTGCCAGTTCTTACCGTCGATTCCATATGCCGCAGGCATTATGTCTCAGGTTTAATAAGTCTTAGTCTTTCAGTCATATGCCACGTACGAATAGACTTATGGCAGATAACCCATCTCATCAAGTTATGAAGCCCGAATAACCATTAACTAAGTCGGACATCGTCCGACATTTAAAAACACCGGGCAGATACCCATGTCATGGTTTCTGCCCCGACAGCATTCCTGGGCCCCATTGAACGACGACCCCGTCGTTCACCATCAAAAATACAAAGTCAGGATTCTTATGAAATTTCAATGTCAAAACAACAATTACAATACACAACAATCCAACACAATTGTCCGGAACAATCGGGACTTTCACCAAGAATCTGGATTCAGCCTCCAGAAGCCCAAATATAAACACAATAAAATTGGATTTGGCTCCGACAACATTAACATAAATACTACAAAACTGGATTCAGCCTCCAGAAGCATAAATATGATCACAACAAAACTGGATTCAGCCTCCAGAAGCCTAAAACTTAACTGTTTTCTACTCATCAATTGGAATAGTACTCGATTTTGCCCCTTGCAAACCCAAAAATCAAAACTTGGACCCAGATTCAGCCCCTGGAAGCCTAAAATACAGAGGATCCTTTTCAGAATGGTCCCAACATCATCCCACTGGCGGCCAACAATTTTGTCTCTCTGAATGGTTACCAGATTCCGCCATGGTAAGCCTAAATCGACAACCTTCAGGTAGATATCACAATAGATCAACTCGTCGGATGATGCTCAGACAAGTCTGAACGAACCACTCAGAGAGCAACCATTCATTCAAAAGTCCTCGCCCAAGTTTTGTTCCTATTCCAATTTCAGAGAGAAAACAACTCATATAGCTATCATGTCCGATGTTTCTGAATTTTTGTGATATGCATCGAGGAGTGGTGTAATCTATATGAGGGTAACATCTCGACATCAAGCCCCGCTTAAGATTCGAGCCTCACCACATTCCCTCCGATTCCAGTGCCTTCAACCCTATTAGTCCCCTGCATGTAGAGTAGAATTGCCCCACCCCACACGATCAAAGTTGACTAGGCCTTGATCATGGAGGTACGGTGACCACGTCTGGCATGAGGTTAGGTAGTCACTCCTCCCCCCATGACAACCAATAGTCGCCTACCCTTACATGCAACATTCTAACAGGATCTCAACACCTTCCTCCCTTTCGACGATAGTGTAGCCTTCCTTTCCTTAAACCACTCAAGATCCGGAAGACAACATCCCACTATGGACCAGGAGCATAGCTCCGACGTGGACCTCATTACCACCTACGAAGCTCACAAATCCATCAGAAGTTTATCGTGGCATGATAACGCCTTCAAAACTTACTTCAGAAATATTCAACAACAACAATACAACTTACAACAAATGCTTTCACATGAAATTTCATAACGATCCAAGCTAAATAATATTCAACAATAATTCAGATGCCTTCATGTCTGCCCGTTCATTCAAAACGAATGGGCAAAAAAAATAATGGAAGAAAAGAAAAATCTAAACCAAATCTAAACAGAAAATCTAAAAAAATCTAAGCAAAATCCAACAAAGAAAAAAAAAAAAAAAAAAAAAAACCTACCTAAATGTGGCTGCCCGTTTCCAACGGGCGCCTGTCATTTCACTGGGAACTTTCGGTTCCCAGTCACTTCTGAACGCGCTAGATGGTGCGTTATTTTCTTCTCCCCCGTTGCCTTATGCCAATGGTCCTGTCACGCCATGGCCTAGCCACGACTTGATGGTCGAGGTCCCCCTAGCATAAGGATAGGATCGAGCTCTTGAACCCGGACGTGTTTAGAGCAGAGATGCAAAAAGCAGTTCATTCTCGATTTCCTTCTCCTGTCCTCAAACGCGTCCAGAGTCAGGCATTGAATCCGATGCTCTTTGCTAATGGAGACACGGCCCCTTTCATGTGGCTCTTCGGCCACTGCTCTCGAAGTACAGGCCTGAGTCCGAATCCCATGAGATTTCAAAAAAAAAATCAAACTTTTTTTTTTTTTTTTTTTTTTTTTTTTTTAATTTACATGAGTCATCCTTGCGCAGGGGCCAAGATAGATCCGCGCGGCCGATCTGAACCGTGCGATACTCACGATCGAACGGTATGGATCAACCGCGCCGGCATCGCTCAAAATGGGCAGCCCCAAAAGAAGCTAGCCCAACTGCTTGTTGTCAGTTTCGATCCCTGTGTCTGCGGGGCGATAATCTAGCGACAGTACCTACTGGGCTAGCTCCTTCTCACATCAGAGAGGAGCAGCCGTTCTATATGAAGGGCTTTCAGCGCCCAGCAGGCCCCCTCTCCAGCGCTTAAGCCTACTCGCTACCTTGGCTGGCAGGCGGGCTCGGCAGCCGGCAGCCTTAGCACCTGCCCTACCCAGCCGGCCCTAGCGCCATCGCGGCTGGTCCTTGGCGCAGAAGCCCCGCGGACCGAAAAGCTCCCTATTCCTGCGCACCGCAACCCTATACCCGGCGCGGGCGCTCTTTTTAGCTTACTTAGGCCCCGAATCGCGCGGTTGTATATCAGCGCGACATTATTTTAGGTAGGATAGGTATAAAATTATCATATTCTACGGTCGTATGTCCATGCAGCGTTACCAAACATGGGAAGAACTGGTCGCGCTGCCAGTTCTTACCGTCGATTCCATATGCCGCAGGCATCATGTCTCAGGTTTAATAAGTCTTAGTCTTTCAGTCATAGGCCACATTCGAATAGACTTATGGCAGATAACCCATCTCATCAAGTTATGAAGCCCGAATAACTATTAACTAAGTACGACATCATCCGACATTTAAAAACACCGGGCAGATACCCTTGTCAGGGTTTCTGCCCCGACAGCGGAACGGAAACCATTTGCCACCACTCCCTCTGTCAGCAGGAAATACCCCTCTATGAGTTCCGGCAGGTTCTTAGGGAGGGCGGCGACCGGAGGGCGAAACGGCGGGCCCAGTCTCGCAATTTGACAGCGACACAGTTGGCGAGTTTTCGCGCTTAGAAGAATTCATAGAAAATTC